GTGTCCATTTTCTGTGCAGCATCTCAGCTCTGTTCTTCCTCCTTCACCCCGTTCCCACACTTTCCTCCTCCCTTTCTGTTTCGCATATGTAAAGTGCTGCGTTCTCTGGACCCTGCAGCTCCTCTGTGTCCCCAAAGTCCAGCCATGCAGTTGCTCCAACCAGTGTTGCTGTTCCTGGCCTTTTGATTCCTTTAATCCCATTATTCCTACTCTTGTGTGACTCCTGTTTGGCCTTGTCCCAGTCTGGTCTGGATGACCCTCTTGGTTTTTTGTGTTTGTTTGTTTTAGAGTTTTTTGTTTGTTCATTGATTTTTTTATTTTTTTTTTAAATATCATTCTCCTTTCTGCAATCGCCTGCTTTATGATCCTTCCCTCCTCAGATTCCTGGGATTCCTGCAAGCCATTGGCATCCCCTCTATGTGCTTTATTCAGCCCTTTGGGTTTGCAGCCCTGGGTAGTTTTTTTCTTTTTTATTAACCATGTGCTGGAGCCACACTCAAGTAACTTTTCTCTTATTTGAGGTAACAAAGAGCAAAACTCCATATGATTCTCTCTGCCTGAGTCCTGTCCATGTGTGACACAGGTGTGTGTTCCTGTGGGACACCAGAGCATTCCTGAGACTCCCTGTCCACCCCAGGGCTGCATTTGGGCTCACACACACATCAGACAGGAGCTGGTATTGCTCAGGCTCCAGGCTCATTCATAGAATGATTTTTGCCTGGTCTGATGCCAGCAGAGAGCTTGCTTAGTGGAGAAAACCAAATTTGGGAGCTAACTACTTCTAAAAGTGAGTTTAAGGTAGACGTTTGGCCATTTTTACTGTGGAAAACCTGAGTTAAAGGAGTTTTGCTGCCAAAGAGTATTGGACTTCCCTGGGCCCTGGTAGAAATCCCTGGAGTATGGTTTGAGAGGTGCTTATATGGTTCCAGGCACCAACAGTCCTCTTGCACACTTCATTTGGTTTTAGATCTCAAGTTTTATGGCAAGGTCTGTCCCTTTGAGGTATTGAAAGCTTCATTTAGAAAGGCACAAGCTCAGGACAGGCTCTAAAAGAACATTTCAAAACTCCTTACAGATAAAAGTTTGGTGTAAGGCAACCAGGACAATTACTGTGTTCAGTGACACTTTCCCTGTCTCAGAAACCAAATTTCTAGTACTTTCAACCCCCAAACCTGAAGCTTCAGCCCCTGTAGTTGTTAGATCCAAGCACAGGGATGTGGTGGTGATGCTGTCCCTGTGCTTGGCAGCACCCAGAGCACAAGACACTGCAGGTTTTCCAAGTGGAAATCACCTCACTTGGCAGATGAGGAAGCTTTCAGGCAATGATTCCCTATGCTGTATACCTTTCAG